AGGCAAACAGTTAGTGGAATTCCATCTCAACTCAGAGTGGGGGTATGCACCTCTCATCCCAGCTACATGGGAAGTGGTCCAGGCCAGTCCTGGCATAAGAGTAAGACCCTATTAGAAAACTAATTAAAGCAAAAAGAGCTGGGAGTATGGTTCAGTGATAGAGTGCCTGCCTAACAAGCACAAGTCCCAGAGTTCAAACCCCAGTACTACCAAATAATAATAATTAGCAATACCAATAATAATAAGATAATGAGACCCTATCTCTAAAAAGCTGGGTATGGTGGTTCATGTCTATAATCTCAGCAACTTGGGAGGTATACGTAGGAGGTAGGAGGACCATAGTCTGTGGACAGCCCTGGACAAAAGTGAGACCCTATCTAAAAAACAAACTGAAGCAAAAAGAGCTGAAGGCATGGCTCAAGTGGCAGAGCACTTACCTAACAAGTGCAGAGCCCTGAGTTCAAACCCTAGTACAGTCCCCCACATATATACTTTCTGATACTAACAAAATTAAATTAGAAATTAAGAACAATATAACAGCTTTGAAAAAATCTCAAAATAGAACAACACATTTCTAAGTAACCCATGGGCACAAGAGAAATCCCAAGGGTTTTAGGGATTACTTTGAACCAAATGTACTGAAAATACAATGTATAAAAGTTCTGAAATGCATTGGAAACAGTGCTTCAGGGAAAATTTTTTGCTTAAGGTCTAAAAGTCAGTTGTCTTAGGTTTCTCCTTTAAAAGTTAGAGAAAGAAGAACAAAGTAAATTGAAAAGAAGTAGGAGAAAAGAATTTAAATGAAAATAATAACAAAACAGAATCAATGATAAAACAGACAAATACAGAAATGGTGAAATACTAAATTGGTTCTTTGGAAAAATCAATAAAATTAACAAACCCTTAATTAGACTGGATCATTTAAAAAGAGAGAAACACAAACCAACAAAGCACTATTATTTGAAATTTTTCATGGGAATAGATCAGACAACTTAAATAATTCTTTGGAAGGTACAAATTACTTATATCCTTTGAAAAATGAGCCTGTGACCTTAAATATTCCTCAAAAGAAAGCCTCGTGCCCAAATACCTTTGAATCTTGTCAAACATTTAAGAAATAATACCAAAATTTTCAGCCAAGCAGAGAAAGAAGCATTTGCCAACTCATTTAATAAGCTGTCTTTATCCCAATCCCAAAACCAAACAGACATGGCATATCAGCCGCTCTCACGATCAAAGACACAAAAATCCCTAGCGAAATATTGCGAAGAGAATTTGTCGGTATACAAAGAGGATATTAACCAAGTGAAATTCATATCAGAAATGCAACATTTAAAAAAATCACTCAGTGCAGAATTGCACTCCCAAAACCAGGAGAAAAACCCTAAGATGGTTTAAATAAATGCAGAAGAGCCAATGACAAGGTCAAGCACTTGAGTCAGAATGAGAACTTTTTGGAAATTGTACACAGTAGAACCTGCCTTGCCCCGATTAAGGGCATGTAGGAACAAGCTGTGGCCATGCCACCTGCCACGGTGACAGGGTGAAAGGCTGAGGCCCCTGCTCAGTCCCAGTCCACATTGCATGGGAGGTCCCAGCCACTGCGATTTAAGAAAGATACACAAACAAAAAAGAAATAGCTTAGGCAAATGGACTAGAAAAAATAAATAAAATACATTTATTCACAGATAAATTGACTGCATACATAGAAAATCCTAAAAAAAAAAATTCTGGAACTAATAAAAAATGTTGAGCAAGGTCATTTTATGTAAGGTCAAAATTAAAAAGTCAATTGGTGTCTATATACTAGGAACAAACCTATTGGAAAATGAAACTCAAAGTACAATTTATAGTGGCATAAAACACTAAATATTTATTAAGGGATACGTTTAACAACATATCTGCTGCAAAAATTACAAAACATTGCTGAGACATTGGAGACAAAAGTCGTGGATTAGCTGACTCAGCACTGCTAAGATGTCCCCATCTCCACAGACTCACCTGTGGCACCAAAACCCCATCAGGCTCCTTGCAGAAAATGACAAAATGATTAGAGAATGTGTAGGAAAATGCAATGGCCCTGTAAGAGCCAAAACAACTCTGAAGATAAACAAAGTAGGCAGACTTACATTACTACATTTCAAGACTTGTTACAAAGCTACAGTGATCATGGTAAGATGGGATTTTGACATAAAACAAACATTTGGGTAAACAGAACAAAATAGAGAACCTAGAAAGAGAACAAAACATACATGGTTTTGTCAAGAAACTACCTTGACAAAGACATCAAGATAGTTGTGTCCAAAAAGTACATGAAAAGATACTTAATGTCTAGTCATCAAGAAGGTATAAATTAACACCATAAAAAGATACAGGTAAAGTTGCTGGGTGTGGTGACATATGTCTATAATCCCAGCACTCAGGAGATGGAGGCAGGAGGATTGCAAATTTAAGGATAGTCTGGGCTACACAGTAAGTCCCTGTTTAAAAAAAGAAAAGGAAAGGATGGGGAGGGAGGGAAGTGAAGGGGAGGAAGAAGAAAGGAAGGGAGGAGGGAGGGAGGGAGGGAGGAAGGAAGGAAGTGTACAAAAACTATAGTTCTGATGTTGGTGCGATATAAAGTGCATCAACTTTGGAATTTCTTATAAGAAGTTTGGGAATTTCTTACAAAGTTAAACATCCCATATCACATGATCCAAAAATGCACTCTAAGTATGACCCAAGAGAAACATGTATCTACAAAATACCTGGGTTAAGCATGGCAAGCTGTACATCTAACATCCCCCAAACTGAAGAACCCACCAAGCACTGAACAGATAAAGACAGTGGTGGTATACCCATACAATGGGACAATTCAGCAATAAAAATACAAAAACTGGTAAATCTAAAAGTATTCTAAGGGGATAAAAACCATAAAGATACAGGTACATGAATTGCTGGTGTGGTGACATATGTCTATAATCCCAGCACTCAGGAGATGAGGCAGGAGGATTGAACAAAGTTGCTAGGACCAGTAAGTCCCTGTTTAAAAAAAGAAAAGGAAAGGATGGGGAGGGAGGGAAGTGAAGGGGAGGAAGAAGAAAGGAAGGGAGGAGGGAGGGAGGGAGGGAGGAAGGAAGGAAGTGTACAAAAACTATAGTTCTGATGTTGGTGCGATATAAAGTGCATCAACTTTGGAATTTCTTATAAGAAGTTTGGGAATTTCTTACAAAGTTAAACATACACATATCACATGATCCAAAAATGCCACTCTAAGTATGACCCAAGAGAAACATGTATCTACAAAATAACCTGGGTTAAGCATGGCAGCTGTACATCTAACATCCCCAAACTGGAAAGAACCCACCAAGCACTGAACAGATAAAGACAGTGTGGTATACCCATACAATGGGACAATTCAGCAATAAAAATACAACAAACATGGGTAAATCTCAAAACCGTAATTCTAAGGGGGAAAAAGACTCAAGAGAGTACATACTATCCAAGTCTACTTACATGAATTTCGTGTGTGTGTGTGTGTGTGTGTGTGTGGGCGGGGGCGAGGGGTACAGGGGATTGAACACAGGTCTGGAGCTTGCTAGGCAATTCTACCTCTTGAGCTACGCCCCCAGTCCTTTAAGGGTTTTTTTTTTTTTTTTAGTTTAGTGTTCAGATAGGTTCTGACAATAACTTAGCCCAGGCCAGCCTCAAATCATGATCTTTCTGTCTCTGCCTTCCCAGTAGCTGGGATTACAGCTGTGCACCACACTGCTTTGCACCACACTGCTTTGCCATAGAAAATCAGTCCATGGGAATGCAGGCCAGCAGTTGGCTGGGGAGACAACCAAGGGAGCTGACTGCAAAGAGGCATGGAGGGTGAGGGTCACGCCCTTGTCACTTACTAGATTTGGGTGCAGTTGGATCTCAGTTAGTTGTAGCCATGGGAAGGAAAGGAATTCCACATGGTGAGAGTGGGGTGAGCCAAGCCACAGGAGTGGGAGGCTGGAGTGAGTACAGGGAATGGCTAATAGATATTTCTAAATTAATTTTATTGGAGCATAATTCACATGCCATAAAATGCATCCAGTTGAAGTTAATAGTTGAATGGATTTTTTTAAATGTATATAGATCCATGTGACCACCATCTCATAGAGTGCTTCCTTTAAAAAAATATCACTTCAAACTGTTTTCATATTTAATAAATTGAAGTTTTATTAAAGGTTTTCAAATTCAATATTAAAACCAAACCAATATGGAAGCAACAAAATAGACTATGAAGACCATAGACCTTGGAGTCAGCTCTAGATTTAAGTCCTACTTCTTGAGCAGGTCACTTAATGTCCCAAAGCATAATCACCCCCTCGTCCACAGTTTTGGTGTGGACTGTGGAACTTGCCAAAGGATTTGAAAGGGTCCTAAATGAATCTGTTAAAAGACTAAACAAAAAGGCCGTGTTGAGTTCTGCTTCCTTCCTATCCCTATCTCACAATCAGTGGTGAAGGCTTCCAGGTATTTCACCCTCAAATATTGCTTCTGACTGGAATGGGTGGACCATTTGAGAATTGATTCTGGAACAAATTTAAAGCAGAAAACTTAAAGGGTTTTCCCCTCAGGTGTTCAGACCTGCTACCTGGTCCTTAAACAGAGTCTGACAACCCCACATTTCATACCATTGGAAGTTGGGAGGCCCCTCCCCTAAGGTTCTCTCAATGGCCCTATTTCACTCACAGGCACTCCACCTGCTCCATCTCCCTGGCTCACCAGTGCCCTGACTCCATGATCCAGTCCTAACAGCAGTCTGTCTTCTCACGTCAAGACTCACTTCTGCAGTTAACCTGTCACCCTCCCTGTTCAACTCTGCCTTGATGGCTGCCAACATTCACTGAACAGGTATCATCCTCTTATTCAGGCTCAGCTTTCTGGGGTCCCCTTGGCCCAGATCCCAGCACACAGGACCCAGGACACAATCACAGCGGCAAGCATAAATAATTCAAGGGTCACGGGGATGATGTGCCGTCTACCTGAGCGACAAAGAGCTGGAACTCATCAGGCAGAATCCATGAGCGAGGGTAGAAGTTGTACTCTTCGGGGAAGAGACTCTGCATGATCCTCACGGCTCTGCTCAGAGTAATTTTACGCACCATCTCCGTCATGCCTGGGGGAAAAGAAGCTGTGAGGTTTGAACAACCATGGGCTCCCAGCTATGAAGAAGCCATTATTGGGGGACTTTTAAAACCACCCACCCACCATGGTCACTTTTGCAGGCAGCATTTAAAAACAGGTATGAGTTGTTCCCCACAGTGGTGACTCATGGTTTGGCCAGACCTACCAAATTAATGAAAACAGATGGATTCTTTTTTGTCTTATAAAAAATGAAGCCTCTGTTTGAATAGATGAGTTTTCACCTAGTTTATCATTCTAATATCACCCTCATAGGTAAATGGATAGAGAAGCATTTCTATCTTGCACTTAAATCTTAATACCCGCTTTAATTTTGGGGCCAGCACACATATTTCTGGAATTTCTTCTATCTTGTACCCTAGAGAATATTATCTGGTAGACTCTGACGACATTATAAGAAGCTTAATTAAATTGGTTTGTTTTACTCTTTCATGGATATTAAAGGTATAAAGTAGAAAAAAACACACCTTTCAGCATAAAATACGTCTCCTTGAATCAAGGTCAGGAAGTATGAAGAATACTACAGCGTAGTTTATAGTTTGGGGCAGGGGATGCAATCCATAGGAATTCTTCAGTATAAGTGCCGACATTGACATTGATCAGCTCTCATTAATATGCCCCGGGGGGGGAGATTGAAAAATATTTTTAAAAATACTTTTAAAAAGAGTGGTGGGTTTTTGTTTTTTATAACATCATTAGTAACTAACAAGAAAAGAAACTGAGCATATATCTTAGCAAATTCTGTGATGTAGGTTAAAAAAAAAACACTGCAAAATTTAATCTGCCTATTTCTTAAGGCAAACGTCTCTGCTAAAAAATGGATGCTAAAAATAGACTTGACCCTGAAAGAGACTAAACAGTTCCATGACTGACACTGGAAATTTGCTTAGCAGAGTTATTTTTCACAGAAAGCACAGAGTCCCATATCAACTTGGCATGTCCAAATTATCACACGTTTCAAATGGGCCCCCATGTTCAGGAAGCAAAAGAACATCTGAGGAGGAGGGTTTGGATAACCCATTTCTTGCTTCCCTCAGCATATTAAAAACAGCAATAAATCTAAATATTGACACTTCAAGAAGTCAATGCCGGGTTCTTAGTTCCTGTTTAAAGGATATAGAGCAGGTTAGGTGAGTAATAAAGGGCTTAAAAGGCAGCAATAAAAACTGCTCTGATGTGGTCTCTTCTATATTAAAGAAAACACACCAAGGACACTTTCTTGAGCTTCCCAAGAAACAAGTCTGGAAAATGATAGCTCTTGTCTTTTACCTCCCCACAAAATTAGAATAAGTTATAGATCCTGGAGCTCAACACAAAATAACAAAGCAAAATTTCAATTTGTTTCCAAGCTTTTTACTTGTATTGACTAACTTTTAGTTACAGTATTAAGTGGAAAACCTTGCAAACTAACTCTCATAGAGCACACCTCTTACCAAGTAGATGATGGCTCCTGACCAAACAGTGTGGTGGCATTTCTGAATTTTAGTGGCTTTGTGACAGGGTCTCTTTTAGAAACCCCTCAGAAGATCAGAAGGGCTCACACAACGCAGACAGAGGTGCTATGAGTACAGGGTGGGGGTGGGGAACAGTTTTCTTGACAGTCAATGTCCAGTCAATTGAGTAACTTCATTTTATATCTGCAAGAGCTCCTTTTGTACTGTGCATCCTCAGTGCCCCCATCAGCTAACAGATCTGGTTTCCAAGTTCACTTTTGTGTCTCCAGGAAGTTCTCCACTACCAAAAGCCCACTTCAGAAGTGGTCGATGTCACTGCTTGTGGCCACAGACACTTCCTACCCTCAGGCTAGAGACGGTTCAGTCCCTAATTCAGTTAAAATATAACAGTATATTTAGACAAAGAAATTACCCATAGAAAAGTTAATAAAATCTTATGTGCTGACACAAGGCAAATTTCTTCCGTATGCATATCCAAAAGTTCTCAGTTTATGCTGCACTCAAGTGTCTATACTCGCCCAGCACATCCACCAGAACTGACTCCAAGTCACGTACATGCATAGGATATGCATTTTCAGAATAAGGGGGTATATGAGAGACAGATGATAAACTTGGACATAATTGGAGTCAAAGGACATATGGTTCTGGAATCACCCCACTGCTGAGAATTACTATCTGTCATAGGGTGGCAGTGCTGTTCCTCTACCCCACAGGTTTCAGAGCCTGCTTTGTCATTACAGCTAATTAGTTGCTGTGGGTAAAACAACCATGCAAAAAATGACACGCTCCAGTCACTATTTCATGCAGCATTCAGGATGGGGCAAACTTGCTTCTTTGGAATGAATATTCTCTTATCACCTTTCATAAAACTAGTCCTTTGAGTACCTCTCTCTGTATATTTCCCATTTGTTTTCCAAGTGTAGACCTATGGTTCCTTCTTTCCACTCTCAGCTATTTAGTGATTTTCCACAAACAAAGGGAGAAAATGTAGATGAAGCCTCAAGTGATGACTCAGGTCTTAGGAACTTTGTTCCCAAAGAGTTGTTCTCATCCATATTGTGTTCTCCCAACATCCCGATAAGTCCTTTTAGTAGCATCAAAAAATAACCTCTCTCTGAGCAGCAAGGCAGAGAAAATAGTAGTTATCCCATTAATGTGGTGTATAAGAAGCCTGGCTGCAAAGATCACCCTTACTCTCTAACAAAACCCTTTCTTCTTCTCTAAGAACAACTTTGACGTTGGAGTAACTTTCTCTCTCTGTTCCCCTGGAAACCAATAAAGGTAGAATGTTAGCTGTGTTATTTGACAATAAAGCATAAAGTTAAAATGATCCCTGATTGGTAAATTATATAAACACCTTGTAGGAAGCCATAGCTTTAGGCTTTCCAGAATGTGGTGATTCTTATGACCTAGCAAAATCCTTGCAGGGAACTGGGAAGCTGTGCTATAGGGCAGTTATGAGAGATACTGACTCCTATTCAGCATCTAAGCCAAGACAGATAGGGATTTTGTCTCCTTGCTCCTAATCTTTCACTAAAGGGCAGAGCCTAGTCCCCGGAACGCTCATAAATACTCTACTGGAGAGAAATGTTTGATGGTGACTGGCTGGCAAGCTGTGTTTTTTGCCCTGCAGACTTCTAAAGTGAATCTAAGCCAAGTGTGACCTATGGTAGTGACCTTGGAAGTTTTCATGCTTAAATTGAAACCCCCTTAGTGGATGTGGTGAAATGAGCCACTGGGTACAGGTTTCCTGAGAGGTGTTTTCTGAGAGGCATGGGATAAAATGCAAAGTACAAGAGTAAGTTGATTCTCCCTTCAGTGTAAGTCCAATGACAGAATACCAAGAGAAAACACCTCTGCCAAGGCAACTACACTGACTACAACCATGTGAAAATGACAAGCATGGTTAAGGTTTGGGAGGAAATATATAAATAGTCACACTGTTACTTTTTTAAGAGAGGGATGGGATTCAGGGTGATTTCTCTTTAAAATTTATTTATATTGTATTATAATATATGATCTGTGCAGTATGGTAACATGATAATCGCAAGACCCTGTGGCTGGAGAATTTTAACTAAATGTTCCCTTCTCTCTAAGCAGTCCCCACTGTCCTTAGCCTCTGCCTTCACAAAGCATTAAAAAATAATGGAAAATAGGGCTGGAGAGTGGCTCAAGTCCTACCCCTGAGGGCCTGCCTAGCAAGGCCAAGGCCTTGAGTACAAATCCCAGTACTGTCAAAAAAAAAAGAAAGAAAAAAATAGTAATCATGGCAGAATGTGGTAGATAAAAAACAAAATTTACAAAGTGAAGACTGGCAGTGGAGTGAGAGAGAAATTTTAATGTATGGGCTGGGACAATTTTCTAGCATTGAGTTTTCCTTGTAGGGTAGATCTCAAATTGTGGCTATGTCATTGTGCCTACAGTCAACAGTGCTTAGAATAGGTTTTTTAAAAGGAAGGGAAACCAGTATCTCATTTTTGAGATGTTAGTATTTTTGGTTTCTTGCAAGAGAAATGTTCTATTTCTTCATTTCAAGAATACAGACCCTTGTATCTATATCCCAACAGGTGACAATCATGTTCTTCCATCAGTGGAATTAGACCAAGAAAGCCTGTCCTTAAATCCATAAAAGCCAGTCTGCAATCTCCAAGCCCCCGGTGGCTCAATCCTGATTATTAACGCGTTCACTTCCCTCCCAAGGCAACAGCAGTGGAGTGGAGGCCCAGCAGTGACTCCCAATTAAGAAGCTTCAAGTTCGATCTCAACACACTGTCATGTTTTTGTACACGTGTTCTCTGAGACTCGGTCCTAGAAACACTTTCAAATGCCAACACTAACAGTGGGTACCTGGAAACTTGTTCACTTGGCCAGAGAATATGTCATTGTCATGAAATGAAACTCCATGCCAGTAGATGTCACAAGGCAAGCGACGGCCAAACGGGAACTAGAAAAAAGAAGAAAAAAAATGTGGTTAATAGTGAAAGGAGCTGCGGCCACATTGGGTGTCCATTGTGCACAAATTCCTGTCACCTAGAATACAGCTCATGATTTAGTCCTCAAAATAAGCGTGTGAGGTACAGGAGAGCTTCCCATTTTGTGAGTGAAGAAATGGAGCCAGACAGGTCTCATCACAGCGGCAGTGTTCCCATCACACACGGCAGATGCACCATTGCACACTAGCTTACAAAAAGAATATTCCCATCTTAATGATTAAAATCCTGGGGCTAAGAGGGGTCATTTGACATGCCCTAGGTCACACAAAGGAATTGGGATTGAAACCCAGGTCTACCAGATTCCAAGCCCATATGTCTTTCCCTTTCTCTGTAAATTGCAACTCTCAACCCAGCTCCAAAAGAATCAGTCTCTGTCCTTTTCTCTCTTCCTCTCCTCTCCTCTATTCTCCTCTCCCCCACCCTCTCTCTCACACACACACACACACACACACACACACACACACACACTCCACTCCACAAGAGCAGGAGATATCCCCAGTGCCTAAAACAATTCCTGGCACTCAGTAAAGACTTTTTGAATTAATAAATGAACAAGCCAGGCATGGTCACCTGACTCAAGATGACATAACCAGATTCTGTCTTCCAGGAACTTGAAAATCAGAGCTGCCAGGAAGTGTCTGCTGGCCCTTGAACTGGGAGCCAGTGCTGGACACACACACAGAGAAGCAAAGGCAGCCAGTCTGCTGAGAGAAAAGGAGAGATGCGGCTATGTTGCCTGGAGACAGGTAGAGTGACCTTGGTTCCTGGGGCTTGCCAGTCTTAGGTCCCTGCAGCCCTCATGAGCCTGGCTGGCACTCCTGCCCTTGGATCCTGTGAGACAGGCTTGCATCCTGAGGAGATCTTTCGGTATTCTAAAATCTTCTTTAGCAGAGGGCTTCAATTATTTGCAGTCAGAAAAATCCCTCACTGAGACAAAAAGTCTGTTCCTTCCATAACCTCCTGCCACCTCTCAAAGTTATTAACAAGTTCTGCATTTACAGAATGTGGTTTTAAAATCTGTAACTCTGATGACCTTGTTAAAGGGAAAAGCAAGGACATGCTAGTTCATATTTAGAACTTGCTCATTCAAAGTCCAAATGAAGAGACATGCCAACACATTAAATAAAATCACTTGATTTTTCCATTCTAAGTTCATCAGAATTTTGTCTACTCCAAGCTGAGGGGAGGCGTTCCAGTGGAAGAACACAGCGTGACTAATGAAATGGTGGTGATTCATGCTTCCCAACCATCTCAAAATTAAAATGAAGGCAAACAGACTCCAGCCCTTTAAGTCAGTTACATTATTTCAAAGCTGTGCCAAAGCAAGGCATATGCTACACACACTATTAGCATTAACAACTTCCGTCTATAATTTATACCACTTCACTCATTTTCTTTGCATCCAGTGGGTGGTAAGTTATTTATTTAGTAGTCATAAATACAAAGAGATACAACATATGTTATTTCTTCCAGCTGTTAAGTGCTAATATGGAAAAGGGAAAAAAAAAACAGAAAGGTGCTTCTAAAATGCAGGCTCTCAGCCAGGCACGATGGCTCACACCTATAATCCCAGACCAGGGGAAATGTTAGCAAAACCTATCTCAACTAACAAGCCAGGAGTGGTGGTGCATGTCTATAAACCAACTATGAGGGAAGTACAGATAGCAGAATCATGGCCCGAAGCTGGCTGCCAAGGGCTTGTGGAGTGGCTCAAGTGATAGAGCGCCTGCCTAGGAAGTGTGAGGGTATGAGGCCCTGAGTTTAAACCCAAGTACCACAAAAAAAACACCAAAGCTGACCACAAGCAAAAATTTTGAGACCGTATCTTACAATCTAAAGTAAAAAGGGCTGGGGACATGGTTCCAATGGAAGAGCACTTGCCTAGTTCAGAGTTCAAACCCCAGTACTGCCAACAAGTAAGTAATTAAGTAAGTAAGTAAATGAATAAAATACAGGCTCTCCAAGGCAAGTGTACTAAGATTAGAGTGGCTTTGTTGCTCATAGTAAGGGACCAACACCTGCTCCTTATCAGCAAGTCATTTGATGACATGTTATCATCCTTTATTATCACCTTCCAATCCTTACCACCTTCACCAGTACCAAGGCAACCCTCTAATCAAAAGTACTGTTAGCTCATTTCGTTTTGATAAGCTACCATTTTTTAAAAACTTTACCCATTCCTCCAATAATTATTAGTCACCAAGAATGAAGAGTGACACAATTTTAAAATCCTTTTAAAAACTGTCTGCTTACACAGCTAACATCATACCCAATAGTAAGAGACAAGAAACTGGTCCTTCACAATAGGGAACAAGACAAGGATGCCCACCTCCCCACTTCAGTGCTACAATATCACCAGTTCTAGTCAGAGCAAGGGGTAAGAGAAAGGAATAAAAGACATCTACATTAGAAAGGAAGAAATAAAATTATGTTTCCTATCTGAAGAAAGTCCTGAAGATTTCACAAAAACACCGCTAAAAATAATACATTAAGTCAGTAAAGTTACAGAACACAAAATCAACACACAAAAAATCAGTTGTGTTTCTATACACTGACAATGATCAATCCCAAAAGGAAATTAAGAAAACAATTCTATTTTCAATAATATCAAAAAATAAGATACTTCAGAGCTACTTAACCAAGGAAGTGAAAGACTTGAAACTTCTAAATGTTTCGAAGGAAATTAAGGAAGGCATGAATAAAAGGGAAAGATATCCCATGTTCATGGATTGGAAGATGGACACTGAAGGTGTCAATGCAAGCCAAAGTGGTCTGCAGACTCAATCCAGTCTCTACCAAAATCTTCTTGACTCCTTTTTGTGTGTTTGTTTGATTGCTTTGTGGAAATAGGAAAAAAAAAATCCTAAAATTTAATTGGAATTTTAAGGAATCGCGACTACCCAGACAATTTTAAAAAAAAAAAAAAAGCAGAGTTGGAGGTCTCCTACTTCCTGATGGCAAAACTTAAGACAAAGCTGTGCTGCTGTTTCTGAAAGGCCACCTGCACCAGGCAACACATGTCTATTTGCTTGGGACAGTTCCAGTTCACGCCTGGTGTTTTTAATAATACCTCTGCTCACTTTTAAATTATCCCAGCTTAGACAGCAGATTAAACGGATACCCCATTCCGGAAGAAGGTCTATTTGAGCTGCAATTGAAAGGAAGAAAGAGGCTGACTAGGAAATGAAGGAGGAAGAGAGTTAGATAGAGAGGACAAGCATTGAAAGCCCAGAGGTGGATTGACTATGGCACCTGGGAAAGCTGGAAGACAGGTCTGGGTAGTGTAAGACAGGCTTTGACAGAGGCTTTGGCTCAGTGTCAGTAGGTCCTGGAGATGGGGTTGGGGAATCGGTATCTGGGAGAGAGGGACAAGAGAGAGAGGGAGTGCTGGCCATAAAAGGTGAGGGGAAAAGTGTTTGAAGATTGAAGGAGGTGGTGAGAGGCTGAGAGATCCAGCAAGACAAGAACTAAATCTGTCCATTACATGTAACAACACAGAGAGCTTTGGAACCCTGTGAGCCCACACTAGTCATCACCTTCCTGATCCCTTGCCACTTACTAGGTGTCTGACTCATGTGTGCTCTTATTTAATTGTTCCATACAGAACCTTCATCACTCTCCTAACATGGAATTCCTAGGACTGGGAACAATTTGACATACTTGTCTCAGGTTTCCAGTGGTGCTAACTGGTCCAGTGGGTCCTAGGCCCCAGAAAAATTAGAAGCCATAATCCTGAGGACTATCCGTGGGCCTTGTCTCTCACCTGGATGAGGACTACAGTTCCCACCAGCCTCTTCCCTCTCAGTCCACCTGACATGTACCAGCCAGGGGGGATATTCTCTCTCTCTCTCTGTCTCTCTCTCTCTCCCCCTTCGCCTCACATCTTTCTCTCAGCAGCACTGGGGTTTGAACTCAGGGCCTTGTGCTTGCTAGGCAGGCACTCTACCACTTGGAGGCATGCCCCTATCCTGGCTCTAACTAGGCTGCTCTTGCTTAGAACCCCTCAGTGCCTTCTCGTGCACCATAGAACCCAGACCAAGCTCCAAGCCTCAAAGACACTTCACAAGCTTCTCTCTGCCAACCAGCCACATTGGGTTCAATCACTGTCATGGCCAAGTGACTTTTCCTGTTCTGTGGCCCAGGTTTCCCCATGTGACTCCTTCTGACTCCATGAAGCTGTCTTACCAGCTCTCCATCCTCTGCGACTTCTGTTGGTAACACCCATCACAGCCCATTCTGCAGTCTCTTGTCTGAGTCTTCCTCACCACTGTGTGAACTCTGATGAGAAAAGTCTTATAGTCTTCTGTGCATCCCTAACACCAAGTTTTCAGCACACTGTGCACCTCTGTTTTTAAACCTTTTGAAGTTAATAAGTCCCTTTGCAATTCTCCCAGAATTGCGCACGCACATACACACACACACACACACACACACACACACACACACACACACACACACACTTTTCCATATGATTTTAGGAGATTCCAAAATGCTCTGAATCCTCTAGTTGTTCACATACCATTGTTAACAAGACCTGCAGTAATATTTCATGATTTAATATGTGAATGAATGAACTTGCAAAGAGTAGCTACTCAAATACACACCATCATTGCCACTATTAAAGCTTGCATCTGTGTAATGCTTACTACTTCATTTGTGTTAAACACTTTATGTGTGCTCTCATTTAACCCTCACAACACTCTTATGTACTATCAATCCTATTTACATGACACCGAAGCTTTGAGAGAGTAAATTATCCCCAAGGTCATAGAGCTAGTGTGAGCAGCGATCAAGTTCAGGTCTGCCTGATTCCAAGGTCCGTCACTCAGCCATTTGCTATGGTTTGGGTGGGTGTCCTCAAAAGTTCATGTGTTAGAAGCTTGGTCCCCAGGGTGGGTGCTATTGAGAGGTGGTTAAATCTTTGACAGGTGGGGTTTGGTAGGAGGGCCTT